TCTATTCAAAACAAAAAAATTTTTCAATTCGACCCAGTAGTTCCTGAGATTAGCGCGTTCAAACAAACAAACAAATTCTTCAGCTTAATAATATTAGTATAGATTAACAAGACGCATTTATATAAGTCATATAGATATGCATGCGATCATATTATAATTGTTTTACCAAAAAATATGCTTTTCTGCGTATTTTTTTCAGACAAAAGAAACAATGAATTCATTTGTGTTATTGTTTAAATAATGTATATTAATGATGAAATGTATTGAATTAATGAAGACAATGAAGTGACATTTGTATTGATTATATTTTAAGTATGATTATTTTGTACTTAAGGTTTTAAGGACTCGATGAGATATGATTGTCTATCTATGCATCTGATTCTCATATCTGAACTTTGAGATTTGAAATTTCGAAACCCCTCTAGACAAACATGTAGTCTCGTCTCGATGTTAAATTAATAAATAGGATCTAGAGTGGAAATCCTAGTTTTCGTGCATTGCAGGCTGCAGCATATTATGTGGATATAATTGCGCAGCCTTTAAACACGAAGGCCGTGCAATTGAATGAACACAAACACATTGGCAACATATGTACCGACGAGAAGTGTGATATTATAAGCAAAATGAATATTCGCGACTTCCGAATGACATATGGCGTTGCCCAGCGCTCGCGACTCATCGAGGTCATCAAACGTACATTCGAAAACCAAATTTTTCCATATTGTTGAATTAGATTTTTATATTATGTTAAAATTCTTTAATTTCTTTTGAAATACTTCCTTTTGTGAGTATTAAAAATACGATAGATATTTAATAGACAATGAAAGTTTAACAGCACCTACATACTTTATTAACTGCGCTGTCACGTTACTAAGCCATTAACTGGCAAAGCTTACCAAACGTGCTAGACAAGATTTTAATCTATTTATGTGATATTATATCTACACAGTAGCCGTTAGTAGTGCATTTCAATGGACGAAGATATATTTCTGTTATTTTAGTCCTTGCAGGATGGACATAATGAAAGATCTTTCATTGGAGCGTCAGCCATCCGTCTCGACTAACGTGAGCGCAAACCGGTTCAAGTGCCAACTATAATTACATCCAGACCGGCAGCAACTGCGTCGCGTGGTATGCGAGTATCTATATCAATTACCTATGCGCTCTGGAAGTTTTTTAGTATTACCTACTTATTTGATATAAAGAAGGAATAATGTGTCAATCATTTTCAATTTGGCTCCACATATACTTTGCGCAAAACTCGTAAACTCGAACAGAATAGTTCGATTTTATAATATTGCAGTTTAAGATATTTTTATCTAAAATTCCATCGAAATCTTCGGAGTGCAGAACTTACTTATGTTTGTTGAATGGAATTCCTTGGTATCCTCTTTCCTTTTTAAAGCTCTTTTCTGAAGAACATTGGTAAGATTAAGAAATTTCATAGGGAGATAGTCTGGATAATATGTCTTTACTTAATAAAGCTCACGAGTCTGCTTATCTGAACACTATAATGTTTTTGTAGTGCCAGTCATTAATTTGGCGTTTGTCATGCATTCATGAGAATTATTAGCATCAATACCTAGCTATGCACATATTAAACGACGACGAATTCTAACCAATTTGCCAACTTGTATTTTGTCAATATGGGAATGTAATGTACCGAAAAAAACTCTCACAAGAATGCGTTTAAGCCCAATTTCATCACACGGCGCTTGTTTTCTACGATTAGTAGCTTCATGGCTTTAACCGATAATATAAAAATCTTTCACGAAATCTCATTGTAGAATCCACAGAGCAGCAATTATCAGCAAGACTGAGTGTTTATGCTGCATGCTATTTTAGCAAATGACCTTATTATCGAATTGAAAGTCATGCCACGACAAACATACTGTAAATACAATTTTGGGACATTTAACAAAATATTATGTTCTATACAAATTTAGTTCGTAGCCGATTGTCTTGCTGAAAATTCTCCATCGTCTTCAATAACGACCACCGGTTGCGCCACTTGCCAACTTTCCCCGTTCCTCGCTTAGGTTGCGCTGAAATGTTAGGCAACAAGTTTCATACCCTGTTTGCAACACATCTGACGTCTGCACTGCAGTGTGCGATCAAGGAACTGCATTACCTTTCCACATTTTCTCTTGCACTTTTTACTCTTAATTAATTGTTGATATGACCATGTTGACCTCGACCTCTTCTTGCTTGATGACGAAATACTTACGAATTATCACTACTGCTGTCAACGAGAATTGTAAGCAACATTCGCTAAATAACTTTATTGCCATATAGCGTAGTTTTGACCTTAAAATTTGACGTAAAGTATTTGCAATCCATTTAGCCGGACGTTATTTCTGTTAACTGAATAAATGCTGGATAACCTTGTTCACGTTATCACTCTGTACTTTCAGTAATGTTTAGTGACAATTTTATTGAAGCCTTAAGTCAATTTCTAGTACGAAGTGGGAAGATACGATATATTTACAGCTATAACGGTATTAATATAGAAATAAATTATTATGTACCAGTAGTGTACGAAGGTATTGGAATAGTTATTGGATTGATATAAAATAGTAAATTTTTCGATACAAGTGGTAAGTTCAACGATATAGACGCTTGTATTTCTTTTCTTTTAATTTTTTATTTATTATAAAGTTGCTTATCATACCCAAGTCCAAGACCCAATGCATACGACAAAGTAAAATAATACATTTACTTTTCATGTACTATCTATAGTACGTCAGTTTATTACCAAAAGCTCAATCTTTATGTCGATATTTAAACTTTTTTTTTTATAGATTAAACTTAGCCAACTTGACGTGCTACTGTGCGAACAAGAACATGATACTGCTTACATTTAAGTGCGTCGATAACTTATTCCTTTGTGTTCATAAACAGGTAAAAAATCAAATTACACGCTCTACGCACTCCGTTCATTACTCACCAGTGTGAAAAAAGGTGCGTGCGATTAGGATCGTGACCAAATTGGTGAATCCTTGAGTTGTCGATTCACGAATCTTGTATTTTATGAAACTTTAGATCATTAGCATAGTAATCGTGATCATCGTGACGATGCCTTTAAGATCAACATTATAGGTGTAAATCACACTATTGATCAACTCACCCATCCGAGGCCATGGCGAGGATAAGTGTATAAATATTTGATAAATGAAATTTTTACTTCCTGTTTAGTTAAATGATTTTATCATACTTTTTTGTGAAATCTATCATTAAAGAATCACTAGCTTAACTATTTAATTCAATGACAAGGTAAATAGAAAATAATGTAGAAGTGCATTTTTTTTTCTAAAATCAATTTTAAGAACTACATAAAAATTTTGTCCCAACATTCAAATTAAAAAAATATAATCGTTAGGTTTCATAAGTGATTTCTCTTTTCATGTCTAATAAAACCCCATATATTTAAACAATGCATGTTTTGAAGAGAAAGTTCGTAAATAAAGCTATTATTCTGATAATTAAAATGTTTGTTAGTCATAAAAGCATTCGTGAAATCGAAATATTATTTTTTATTATGAGATGGGAAATATGAATTATTATTGGGCCATAAAAATAAAGTGCGCGTTTTTTCTGCAGTTATACCACATACATATTTTTGTTTTATAACATTCTACTCGCTGGTTTTATTTCTTTTGTTGTTAGAGCATAATTTACAACGATGAGTGTGCGACTCTGGAACATCTCCGAAAGTTCTCACGCAATTATGGTTGCTATCTTATGTAATAAAAAAAAATCCTGACTGCCCTATATGAGGCCGGTCATTTTGCACTAAAAGACAGACCTAACTTCTTTAATAGCCTAACAGTACTTTAATTAATATGTATGAGCTACATTTTTAATAATAAAATATTAACTATTATAGTCATAAAAGTTGTAGTTGTTTATAAATCCCACATTATATTATATACTAAAGCCTACTAAAAAAATATACTATTTCATAATTTGTGTCATCAACGAGTCATAAAAAACGGCCATATAAATATTTAACGTCCACGACCTCACAAGTCAAACATGATGACAACCCTACACGCAGTGCCGGCTTACCTTATGACACATCTGTGACACGACGATACAATGCTTTATTCTAAATAACCTTCACATGTCTCCGGTCTTCGTGTGGAGTTTCAACACTTCTTAATGAATCTTCCAAGTGTATCTGACTTAAATATTAGTTTACCATTCCCGTTTTTAGAGGGTGTGGACAGGGTTTTGTGTTACGTCTGAAATTCAAAATTATACGTGTCGTGTCGGATATAAATGCCAATGAAACGACAGCAAGTTACTGATAAATATTATATTCAAATATCTGATGTTACCACTAAATTGTATCGATTGCCCTTTTATTTAATTATTGTGTACAATAAAAGTATTTATTCATTCATTAATTGTTACGTACGATACACCAAGATGTCTATCTACCCTCATGAGTTCAAATTTTTTAAATTCGACTACCGCTGTTGTCGAGTAAGGTACTTCGCTCACCAAGTTCAGTGGGCAACGCGATATCTAAGGCCCAAATGTTAATTGCAAATTTGCAATATGCCTTTCTATGGGATGCACATTTCAGTGATAATGAATTTGATTTTTCGATTCCCAGTGTTGAATGTTCAAACGACAGAACTATCACAAGATTTTATAGTTTAAAAAAACAAATTTAAATGTCGCGATACGATTGGAATAACGTATCTGTTGGATTTTGGAATGAATCGGATCTTTACATGCAGTAGGTCACGTATGCGAGGAGCCATTGAACTCTTACATTAAAATAAACATTCACAATGACTTCTTCATTTTTATTGTCTTCGTTAATGTCTTTTCGCGGCGTTCAACAAGGACGCATCTACGTTTAACGTTGAATCATATACATTTGAATAAGAATATCAAACGCCATACACGCTTTATTGATCTTAAACATCATGTAATAAAATTTTATTTATCACGTCATCACTGATCACTGTCGTCTGGTTTGGTTCCAGGTGTGGCCGCGGTGAGGGCGCGCGATGGGTGCGGTGCGGCGCTCCACAGTCGCCGCGCTCGCCGCCCTCGCCGCGCTCCTGTTGCTGCTGCTCGCGAGACTGCCGCCTCCTGCACGCCCCCATTCCCCGCCCCCTGCTTCTGCCAACCGACAAGTCCCCCTATCAGCGGTACACACTTCCCCAACACCAATCACGAACCGAACTACTCCCGCCCGTATTACCACCACTCGTCGACCATCGTCTTCGCCCCCGCAGCCGAAACCGCCTTCTATCGCAGCAGCAGCATCACAACCGTCTAAACCTGCACCGCTCGCCCCGGCCGATCCATCGCAACCGCGGCCCATACTCACTGGCGAGGTGTACGTCGCGGGCCATGAGAGGCCTCACCCTGAACTGTGTCCGGCATTGGGCGCCAAATTGCGGCTCGTAATTCTGATCACATCAGCGCCCTCACACCGCGCTGCACGCGACGCTATCCGTCTCACATGGGGACACTATGCGGCGCGATCGGACGTTGCGCTCGCTTTCGTGCTTGGTGCGCCTCCTGCCGCTCTCCGCCCGGCCGTCGAGGCAGAAGATGCGCTCTACAACGATATGATCGTTGGTCGCTCGATCGACTCTTATTCGAACATGACGCTCAAAACGTTGTCGATGCTCGAGTGGATCGACACGTATTGTCCGCGCGCGCCGCGCCTCCTCAAGACAGACGACGATATGTTCATAAACGTCCCGAGGCTCCTCGACTTCGCAACGACGCACGGCCGAACTAACGCTAGTCTCACGATCTGGGGCAAAGTCATCAAGAAGTCGCTGCCGAAACGTACTACACGATCGAAGTATTACGTGTCGCCGGTACAGTTTCCCGGGCGCGTTTTTCCGGACTTCGCGACTGGTCCCGCGTATCTAATGACGGCAGACGCAGTTCGGCCACTGCTGGCGGCGGCACCGCGCGAACGGTATCTCCGGTTAGAGGACGTATTCGTGACGGGCGTTCTCGCATCTAAACTAGGCATCGCTCGTCGTCACGTGACCGAGTTCTACAACAAGAAGCTTGCGTTACATCCCTGTGCGGTGCAGAGAGCTATCTCGATACACATGGTGCGCTACCACGAGCAGTTCGACCTCTGGCGCAAGCTGCTTGATGGCAAAACCAAATGCACCTGAATCGGCCGACGAACGCGCTGTATTTCTGTATATATGACGGCCGCCGCGTGCCATACCTTGGAGGAATTTTATTTTTAATACGATCGTTTTACATTGGATGCGAAGCATCGACGGTTTTGAAACTCGTCCCTTATATTTTGTGTAAAGGTTTTACTTTTGTAACCTATTTTATTTTTGTTATTTTTTTATATAACAAGAAGTGTATATTTATATCTGATGTTGATCACAAAGAAGAACAAAAATCTGATTTAATACCCAATCAATCTCACGTTAGAATCTACGAAATTAAAACTTTGATATTATAAGTATAGTGACTGTGAATTAAGAATTATGTTTGAATACTCAAAAACCGTGACATGATTTATTTTTATATTTAACGTTTAATTATTATTAATTCGATTCGAGTTATTATATCGAATTATTTGTAAATCTTATAGTCCAATTAATGATAAATACATTGGTATTGGTTAACGGCAGCTTCGTGCTAAAGTACAAAACGCCGCATCTCGCCCGCTGCGCGATATATCCTAAAGGGAAATAAATATTCCTGGATTAAAATCGAGGAATGTTTAAGACTTTGAAAAAAAAAAACGCATTTCATAAGCTAAAATATATTTCTTAAAAACGTATAGCTAATTTCCTACTCCATTACGTTCTTTGTTCTTTTCATTCATCTTTATTGTAACTAAATAAATCATTTAAGTTCTCTTCAACAATATTGTAGTTACAAAGTAACTTAAATAATTTATTATACAATGGACATAAGTCATGAATAATGTCGCGCGCCGGGCGACCGCGCTCTTTTTAGCGAATTGTTGAACGCTGTAGCGGCGATTATGTTGTGCCAGAAGGTTGTAAATATTATATTATAATATATACACGTGATTCTATCAAAATTTTCTTTAATTTCTATGATATTCCAAATAATTGACAGATTCGGCGTGGTGATGAGTGGCTGCTCTATGACTCGCTATCTAGTGTGTTAAAATTCTTTATAAGGAAATTTATAGTTTTTGATAAACCAGTACCTTGAGGCGTTTTGACGGTTTCCACGGTTTCTATTGCTAGGGTAGAGCGACCCTATTTGATTTTGTAATGATGTCTTGAAACGAATTCATAATAAGCCCTAACTTGGTGATAGTTAAATTCAAGTTTTCTTGCAGAAATAGTGCTCTTGGATTAACTGGGTTTAGAATAGTCCTAATCTTACATTATATATTATTATTAAACAGATAATTTCGCCGAGTGCACGACTCATGCTGGTTGAATGTTATCAATCCTAAAACCTTAAAATAATAATTCTAAAAAATTACAAGAAACTTCATTTGAATACTAGTGAAGATGTTTATTGATTATATTAACCTAATATTTAAGAATATTTGGTATTACTTAGACATTTTTGAAGTCAATTTAAAGTTTTGCAAGTTTTACTTTTGGAATTTTTGATGATGACAATTTGTCGAAATAGATTTGATACAAAAATAAAAGAACCTAATGATCCCATTTCGATAATAAATGGAACCCCCTAAAATTCACATATATGTAATATTATTTTTTAGATCTATATACAAATAAAAGCTGAAGAGTTTGATTTTTTTGTGTCGCTAATATTAAATACTGTTATGTTGGTTACGCACACGAAAATGTTACATTTAGCTGACGCTACTGTACTTTAAAAACAGGATTTAGATTTTTTAAAGTTGGATGTCTTCATTTTTTCCGTTTTTATAAATCAAAGTAGTATTTCATTTAAAATAGTTAGGGGTGTGTGAAGACTGTTTTGACAATTTTCGTAAGTCAAATGTCCCCCTTCCCTTTACCAACTAAGCGGTGTTGTTAGAAACGTATTAAACAGGACAACTATCTATCCTTCTTAAGTCAGCTTAACAACTCGAAAATTACGAACAACTCGTTTGAAAACAACAAACGTGATTTTCTTTTGGATTTTTATGATACGGGACCCTGACTATTAACGAGATACTTTACTACTTAACCGAGGGACGTTAAATGATGTTTACGAAACATCCGATAAATATGAATGACTAAAAACCATAAGTTTCTTGAATGAGCTACTAATGGTAGGAATAAGTTTAATCTAAAATAGCAACTAGAATTCAAAGTATCACAGTTTAATAAATCAGACGAGAAAATACCGAGTGGTCGTAACTAGATTCATGCGAATACCTACAAATTGAAGAGATAGCAGAATATCCGTTAGCAAAATTTAATTTGGCCTCAGACACTAAAATCTCTGAAAATGCTGAATTGAGGAAGCAAGAACAAGCTGACCGTCAACTTGCAGTGAGTCGTAAGTATTGCACAAGCAAAGCATCAGACTGTTTCAATCCTTTAAAATGAAAGCCTTTATCTGAAAATCCGGACTAAAAACAGTAGCCAAATATCTAAATCCAAGTAAAATGACGGCGTAATTATTAAACGACTTCAATAAAAGGACTATTTTATCAAAGAAAACATTTGTTTGTATTTTTGAGAGAAGTGTCGATTCTAGTGCGCACTAAAATGGTAAGAAGAGCAACTGGAGTATTCTATGAAGACATGCGCATTATCCACAGAAACACCGGTAGATTTTCAATAATTGGTTCCCTCTATTGGACAGGCCAGCCCAGCAGTGGGGACGTTGATAAACTAATGATGATGATATAAAGATGGATATTCTTTCATATTTTTAATTAAGATTAGCTTAAGACTCCAGTACTGCTATACTGTCAGTGTGCATACAGTACCCTCGGACCACGTGGGTGAAGCGGCGGGCTAGTAATTATATATTAGGCACGGGGAGTTTAACAGATGTGAGTGAGGAATGGGAATCGTCATGTATGATAAAATTCTTTGGATGATTTTAAGGAGATGTTGGGGGAAAGTCAGAAAGCCATCCGACAATACTGGTATGACAATTGCTCTGAATCAAAAACGCAAGAATGTGAACGAATCACCTTTTTCTATTGAAAAACCACCTCTGTTCTCTAGCCTTATTTCTCAATATTTTGATTGCCATCAACGAAAAGAAGCATTTAACTGGATGAAAAGAGAAAAACAACACATCAGACTTGGCTTTATGGCTTCGATAGATCCCTTTGTCTGTAAGTAATAACAACAACAATCAATATTAAGATAGGGATGCTCGATGTTAGAAAAAAATCATAATAAATATCAAAGGAAAACATCTATTTAAGCCAACATCGATATTTGCACACATCGTCAAGAGTGTCGCCAGCCGATGGCCAAGGGGGGGGGGGGGGGGGGGGAAGTTTATCATGGAGAATGTGGTACTACGTTTCGTGTCGTCTACTACGGAAAAATAGAAAGCTTTTTGAAATACATTCATAATTATCTACATATACTCCATTCATTATAGCATTAGACAGAATGAAAATAAGGTTCTTTTTATGGTATACTTTGTGATAAAATGTCAACAATCATGTTACTCTCATGAGTAGCTCGGTGGCGTAGTGGATAAGCGCCGCGGCCCGCGATCGTAATCGTTAAGTAACTTTCGCAAGGGTCGGTCACGGGATGGGTGACCAAAAATTATTATCTCGAGCTACTCCGTGCTTCGGAAGGCACGTTAAGCCGTTGGTCCCGGCTGCATTTGCAGTCGTTAATACCCTCCAATACGCATTGGGCCAGCGTGGAGGGTCATGGCCCATCCTCCTTAACCATCCATAAGGAAGGCCTGAGCCCCTGCAGTGGGGACGTAAAAGGGCTGGTGATAATCATGTTACTCTTAAGACTAACGGATAATTTGCTACATATCCACTTAAATACCAGCTGCTATACTTAACCGTTGTCTTTTAAGCTATATATTAAACAAATTTATGAGTATTTGACTGACTTAAAACATTTAATAATTATTACAATAAAAAGTGTTCATCTTAAAGAACCTAAAGAAGCAGGGTTAGATAGTTTCGGCACGATTCTCATGACACTATAACTCTACCAAATTTAAAACGTTGCCTAATCCCTTCAAACGTTTCGGCAGTACAGCTTTTTAATTTTGTCAGATTATGATTTATTCATAATAGTCAAAATACGTAATCTGGGATTGTCATTAATTGTTAATTAATTGTAATTAATTGTGTGCCTTTCTTGTTGTTTTGCCATTTTCGGTGATTGAGTAATTACTGTTTTATTGTTGTTTTCTTATAGTTATGTTTTAGTTGTTATCTTTTTGTTGTTAAGTTTTGCTAAATTGCGATTCCGGTGCAAGCCCGAGAGACCAACAATTACCTTTGACATTTCAGCAAGTTTTTCCAATATCTTAATCAATAGTCTAATAATATCTGAATAAATGTTATAACAGTAATAATAAAAAATTCATTTTGTTTACCTTTTTATTCTGGGCATAGATATAACTAAATTATATTCTAATGATATACACTTACAATTAGAATCAATCAAAACAACAGATAGATAGTTTTATTTCCATATTGGCTCTGAGTAAAAAATGAATTTAGAAAATGCTAGTCTCATCTCAACCCCGAGAAAATGTAAAATTGCCCAACTCTTTCACACTACCTAAAGTTCAAAATTTCAACAAAACTATTATAAATATTTTTTAATTTTATCGTGTAAATAAAATGTTCTGCACTGCTGCTTCTGAGAGCCTCTTTTTTCTAATGTTATAATGAATGGAGTATAGAGTTTTGCCAGCTGTATAACCTCAAAACATTGTTTACAAATTACGAATCTATCTGGCCTCAAGATGAAAAGATGCTCAAATAATATTCTATTTTAAGCAAAAACTAATTTAAATTGGACCTAATGGTAGGTAGACAAAACCTTAAAAAACATATGACAAATCAGAGTTGTTGCGAATATCAGCAAAATTTGATGCTGATTTTAGTGCTGATATTCAAGTCGTAACGCGTTCGTTAAAACCACAGAACCATTTTTCCTTGTTCTGTGTTTGAAAGCAACACACAGGTAGTTATAAATAAAGTTTAAAAACAAGCTGGCACACGCTCGTACATTTGCTTGTTTTGTTCAAGCACATTAGTGCTTGAATTTGTCAATTATTAAATACTAACTGTTTCCATTAACTTTGTCCCGTGACTACGACTAACGACTAAACCACTATCAGATTTAATTTAAAAAAAAAGGATTATTAAAAAAAAGGAATTTTTTACCACCATTATTTATGTTAAATTACAAGCTGTAACGTTATATTTCAATAAACATGACTATGGATGCACTTGCAACAAAGAGTTGACGTTTAGTTTATTGAAATGTGACATCACACGATGCTCCGTCATAGCCGTAGTATTTCGGTTTTTGTAATCTACAGATTTGAATCACAGGTTGATTTTGCAAAAATAAAATATACTAATAATTAATTTCAAAACAAAAAAAATAAATTATATGTGGTTAAAAAGATCATACATTTTAATGATTATTCACCTTTATTCAACAATTACTTATATTTATAAATGAATAAACAAAAATATAATTTTCCGATATTTGTATTCCATGTCTCACGTCAAATAAAACACCAATCAGAGTGCGTGACGTCATTTCTGAGTAAATTAGTAGTAAAACAATCTAGGAAAAGCGCGGGATACATTCAAAGTGCAAAGTAATTTTAATGATTTATTTAATTTTTACAGGTTACTAGGATCAGTTTACTGTTTTATTTATTTGTGAGTATATCACTGAAAACCCCTTTTGTTTACCCCACAAATGACGGCTCAATAAAGCTTTGAAATTAATTTTCAAAGCTTTATTGAGCTTTTGAAATTAATTTTCAAAGCTTTATTGAGCTTTGAAAATTAATTTACTTTTATACATGAAAGAAAACTAAAAGGGTTGTCATGGAGAAATCAAGAAAGCACTGTAGCGACATCTAGTTTGAATTCGGAAACTTTTTTTTTAATACTTCCTCATTTGATTCGCGCTCATCGACGTTAAAAGTCGATATTTAATCTTCTACTATCGATGATCATCGGGCATCCCTTTATCAAGATTTTATTTTGACAGGATAATGTCTCGCTTTTCATGCAAGATAAAATATTGTTAACTGCGAACATAAAATTTGTGTGAGAGCGTATTTCTTCCTTTTTATGATATTAAAATGCCGTAGTTATCGGGGACGGCTTGCAAAAACATGTATGACAGCACATGCGGTGCCGCTGCAAGCGGTCAGTGCGGCAAGGCGCAGCCCGATGGAGACGGACCTCCACCACGAGATCCGCCACCGGCACCTCTTGAGCGTGACTACAGCGGGTTCGACATAGTTAAGGCGACCCAGTACGGAGCGTTCGCCCGTGTGAAGGAGCTCGTCGAAGCAGGCTGGGATGTTAACCAGCCGGACCGTGAAACTGTGACGCTGCTGCATTGGGCGGCGATTAATAACCGGCGTGAAATCATCCAATACTTGTTAGCGAAGGGCGCCGTAGTAGACGCTGTCGGTGGAGAGCTCCAGTCGACACCATTGCACTGGGCGACTCGCCAGGGTCATCTCGAAGCAACAGTATTGCTCGTGCGAGCTGGCGCTGACCCAAATCTACGCGATGCAGAAGGCTGCGCATGCCTTCACCTGGCAGCACAATTTGGCCATACGGCAGTAGTTGCATACTTGGTGGCGCGCGGTGTATCGCCCGACGCCCCAGACGCAGGTGGCATGACGCCATTGATGTGGTCCTGTTGGAAAGTGTCAGCAGTAGATCCCACTCGTCTACTACTCACACTCGGAGCCTCCACACGACCCACCGATCGTTCACACGGCAATACCGCCCTACATTGGGCTATTTTGGCACGCAACACCACTGCTATATCAACATTACTGCTTTATGTAAGTCTTTAGGTAAAATACTCAAACAAGCTCAATATTATATTTTTATAAAAAGTTGGTGTTCCTTTGCCCATTGTAATTATGGTGTATACTGCATCTATGCTAATATTCAAATGAGGTAAGATTTCATCGTTTATTTGCATCAAATAGGCTCCGAAAGTAAGACAACAACTAGTTAGATATGAAAAAAATTATTTCATATAAATTATCTTTATAAGATATCTAGTTTAAGCTTAATGTGTTACATAAGGGTTAGCAAAGTCATTAATGTAAATGAAGTGAAAATGCTTGAATTTCTTTTAAATAACATTTCAAATGAAATTAACTTTAATAACATAAACTTAGAATTATTAATTCTACATACAATTAAAAAATTCAATTAAAAATTGAGCTTGTGAGGTATTGTCATTTCATTGACGATTTTTACGTAGTCATGATTCAGATAGTGAGTCTATTAAAAATAATCATATAGGACTATGACTTATCATGCAGCATATAGCTTCAAAATAATATAATGATGCTATTAAATCTATGAAAAAGTTATGTACTTTGAAAAAACAATGAGCCAAGGCATTCTGCTATCTCTATTAACTATTAGAAGTAATTAATTGGCATGCCATTTAAAAAATTGGTTAGCCAAAATAAAACACCTTATAAATCAATTGGCAGGCATACAAATATTTTGTCAGCAATATTAATAAAGAGGCTGCAATTCTTGTTCTAGAAACAAGCAGGATCATGTTCAGCAATTTAAACATTGATAGCTCGAAAATTCTCAATTTCATGACTAAACATTTGCAATTCTTCATATATTTTATCATGATGTGCGATATTGCTCAACAATACCATTGAATCACATCGAGCCAAGTGATTTAAGAGCTTAAGGTAAAAAATAATAAAAAAATACTTTTTAAGGGGTACTTCAATTTATACAAGAAATATAAATGACACAGAGTTGATTTTTGCTTACTCTTAAGGTGCTTACATTTGGCAGCTTTTATATATATTTGGCTGTACAAAAAAAAATTGTTATTCAGAATGATTTAAATTGCAGACCGATTAAGAAATATTTACTAATCATAAGTTGCTGCCCAACTTGTTATTTTTGCCTACCTAATTATTTTTTGCTCACAAAAATATGAATACTTTGCTGACCATTCAAATAACACCCTTAACTATTTCTCTACTAATTACTCCATACTAGCAAAATAAAGGTCAGGTACTCTTTCGCTGCTCAATTAACTAAGCATCTACTTTTCAATTTTAGCTTAGTTGTGGCTCACAGCATGTCACTTAATTTTTTTAAAATGCAATGAATAAAAAATGTGCAAAATAATGTTAAATTGTATATTTTAGTATAGAACCAAAACATCTTGACAATAAATGTGATTCATATTAAATAAATATACAATAGAAAATTTCTTCACAACTCTTTCTATTATGTATCAATTTTAAAGTATTTCTCAGATAAATTTAGGAAATAAGAGGATGATTGCAAAACTACAGAATGTTTAATATGATTTTTTATTGTATATGTTGGGTATATGATTGCCAACTAATGATTGATTTTTGATAAGTGATACAAATTCACAAAGAAAATTATCATTTAGTTAGACAATGGACAAAGAAGTACAGAATGAAACTACAGTTTTTTTATGGTTTTCCTATTCTACAAAGTGACATACGATACAATTCCAATTCTATTTTAGCTGGAATTGTATCATATATCACTTAGTAGAATAGGAAAACCATAAAAAACTGTGATTCCGTTCGGTTTCGATTCGATTTAAACAAAATTTATTTAGTAGAATTGGCCCCCAGTTGGTGGAGACGTATTATAATTCCCAAAGTCGGCCAATGAGCATCAGTGCCTATGCGTATACATAACTAATAATGTATTGCTGATTACCATTCTATTATACTGATTACCATTCTCAATTTAAACTAATAAACGACCTAAGTTTAATTAGAAAAACATATGCTAAAAAGGTAGAGAAATAAAAAACAATCTTTAAAATATATTTCTAATTGTATTATTATTTTGTATTGTATTAGGGTGACGCAAGCCTCGATATACCCAATCTGCGCGGCGTAACGCCACTGAGCATGCTGCAAGGATCTGCAGAAGCACTGTGGGTTGGCTCCAAAGTGGCTGACAAGATCAAGGAACACACATTAACTACCACCAAGAGAAACCTCTTCCGAAGATTGGCTTATGATAAAGTACTGCTATATTATATGTTACACTTTTTTACGGCATCACAACTAAATATGACTTTTTAATTGATACCAAAATGCTATAAAGCTCATTTCAGACCCCCTTTCCAAAATTAATTTATTGAGTCATGTTTAGAAATAGACTATAATTTCATATTGACAGAAGTTCCGATGGTGGTGTGTGGTGGTGATGCCATTCATAGCGTTCTACTTAACGGGGCTCGTGCTGGAGTTGGAGGCGCCGTATTTGCTAAAAGGTTTCCTGCTGGTGTGTTTCTATGCGGCGCTGCATTTCGTGTCCAATCTGCTGTTCGATGATGAGCTCAAAAACATATTCCCTCTCAGCGTGTACCTCGCAACAAAGGTAAAATGAACACATACGTTATCAAAACTGCCATTTGCCACTAATACGTTTCAGATGTATGTTTCATAGCAGAAGTTTCTTAGCAAAAAACTCCACTCAGAAAATTTTAAAAGGAGTCACTACAGAAAGTATCAGAAATAGGTTATATAAAAGAATCCTAAGAGGACTTACGGTGTTTGATTGCTAGAAATCGACCAAAATACATGCAAATCACAACTCTTTGTACCTACTGGTCAGTTTACCTTGATTAACACTCGGGCTTGAAAACAGTCAACTGTTACTTTAGCCATTCTATGCACTTTTTTTATACTTATATGTCATAAGGCTCAAGTCAAGTCAAGCAAAGTGTATCCGTGACATATTGTCGTGTTGTTAACAGGCGTGGTTCTACATAACGTGGGCGGTATTGGTGTGGCCGGTAGTGGGATTGGGTGCGTCTTTACTGTTCGTGGGCAGCTCGCTACTGCTGTGGCACACGTTCCTGCGTTCGTGGCGTTCCGACCCTGGTGTTATCACCGCCTCCAAACAGGACAAGTTCCGCGTAAGTATACAACATGTAGGAACCAGAAGGTGAATATGTGGTCCTACTGGCTGATGGAGACAACTGTCAAGGGAGACTATTACCCTTTGTCTCCCTCTGAGCTAGGTGTTGTTAGCTCGGGAACCGTGATCCATTGTGATTGAAAACTCGATAAACTTAAATTGCGATAATATAATCATCTAATATACCACAAATAAACATGATATGTTTGTCGCATAAATTTGTATTATATTATTTTTCTCTTTGTTAATGAATTATTTTACTCTTTGGTTTTTGAACTTGTGCATCATAGCATTTAGGAGCATCTTAAACTCGAGGCACATTAAAAGAAAGCTCATTTTTCGTATGTTTTTCCTATGTTGTATTTTATTACAAGCTAAGAGTATATTATAAGAAATATTTTTTGTTTGTGACGGCTGCAATAATTACAGGTGACCACAATTTACTTGATTCCAATTAAATTTAGCAAAAGAATTACCTATATTAGAAGTTGAGTAAATCGGATCAGTATCTTATTTTAAATAATCAGGATGTGCGTTAATTATGACACTCGTTGTTTATTGTACAACTATAGCAAAAACTATACATATAATAGTTTTGCTTGCAATTTAGCATATTTTTTATTTAATTAAAATTAATTAAATAAAAAATATGTTTAAAAACTAAAACCCGCTCGCTACAAAAGTTTGAAAAAAAAAATATAGCGATAGCTATTTTATAATAGCGATGACCAAAGAACAGCATAGTCGTATGCCATAACAGTTTGTTTTATTATATTCAGTGGCTTACGACTGCGCTGTCCTTTAGTCGAATTTTAGTTTTTTAACTTATTAAAAATATGAGTTTAAGTAGAAACATGGCTTATTTTATTTCTTGTGCGCGTGTCATTTACTACTTTTGCTATATGCTTTGTAAACATTAGCAGAGTTGGTCTACTGCTGGTAATAAGGACTTTAATTAGCTGATAATGATGATGTACTTATGTGTGGGCAGACTATAATAGAGCTGTCCGAGTCTTCGCGGGGCGGATTCGAGCCGTCTCGGTTCTGCTCGGCGTGCTTGGTGCGGCGGCCATTACGCTCCAAACACTGTTCCGTCTGTAACCGCTGCGTTGCAAGATTCGATCACCACTGCCCTTGGGTCGGCAACTGTATCGGTATGTACCACTTATATATATGCTACTACTCAAATGAAATGAAAATCATTTATTCACTCTAGGCAGTTGCAACACTTGTGAAAGTCGAAATTCGAATGTCATTGGATGTTAAATCTACGGCTGGAGGCCTTGTACTACGAAGATACGGCAAGAAAATCAGTAAAACTGTTTTCTCTTGCTGTTTTATTTCATACAAAACTTGTCATATTAATGATGAATTCATTTAACTTTGAAGTCACTTTCCATCACTATATCAAAAATACTGAAATAACATAATAATCATTTGCCGATTCAAATGTTGTGTCAAACAAAGTAAATAATTAATATATTATATGCGTAATAGAAGAAAATGGAAAAGCGTAATTAGTCAGCGTAGCATGACAAACTCGAGAAACGCTTTGTCTACACCGAACGTCACTCGGTTCCAGAGTGAGATATCATATGACTGCACCTGGGACAAGTGACATTTGGGTGTAGGTAGACAAAGCGTTTCTCGAGTTCGTCATACTTCTTGTGCTGTATAGTCTGTTCTTAGAAATCTATGGCTTGGTTGATTTTCGAATAATGATTGCTACTTTAAGAACTGTAGTTTCTACCAACACAAAAGTTACTGTTATGCAAGTTAACACTAAACTCAGGAATCTCCCAAATCTGACGCCTAAATATTTAGAAACAACCTATTGTGAAAAATTCACCATTGACTGGGAACCACCTAACAAAATTAAGCAACGTCTAAAGTTATGCCATGTGTTATGCGACGCATTTTGCGCAAGATGCCCGTTCACAAATGTGCCTAGGGATAAAAGAAAAAGAAATATTTGCATTTAAACTAGAACTAACTGCTTAGGTGATTCGGAAAAATTAAGCGTTTCCTAGTTAAACTATGCCTTGTTCTGGGTTAGCGAAAATGGGTGTTAGAATAATTTTTATTTACATGGGATTCAGGTGCGCGCAACCATCGGTACTTCATCGGGTTCCTCGTCAGTTTGGTGGTGATGTGCTGCTGGATGCTGTGGGGTGCTGCTCAGTTCTTCCGGTCGGAGTGCGAGGGCGCGGGTGCTGGGGGAGAGGGGGAGGTCATAGAGGTACCCCTGCGGTGGGCGCGGTGTAACGCCTGGCTCGCGTGGGTCGCCACCAACGCCGCCTTCCATCTATTCTGGGTCACCGTGCTGCTATGCTGTCAATTGTACCTGGTCAGTATCGGTGCATCCATACGTATAAGATATGTTAGGTATTAGGTATGGAACCTTATTGGATGGTGACGGTGAGATGTTCTATGTTTGTGTTTTAAATTGTTTAGCTTTGATCTGATCAAAGTAGTCTGAAATACGTTATGTTATACTGGAATATAAAATTTCATGAAGCAAAACTTAATTGGTTGACTATAAGGTCTGAAATTGATTACCTGTTCTTTGGAATGGTACACCATGTCATAAAAAAGCAAAATGAGGCCCGTTTTAAGAATTTATTTTTAAACAAAATAATAGTATTGTGGTTTCATTGTGATGTAGAACAAAGATCGTTTCAGGCACAGCATAAGTTAGTTTATCAGCAGCACAGCATTAGTTGCTCTCAATAACGATATGAAGACTTACGTTTATATCAAATAAATAGGTACTAGTGGTTAATGAAAATCAATTGCATTATAAGTAAATCGTTCTGTGATTTTGTTAAAGTAAAAATTTATATTTGGTGATTGCCTACTAAATAGGGGTGTAGATAACTTCTTTTATATTTTGTTTTATAGATAGATATACATGATATCTAAAAATAAAATTAACTTTCAAAATTTCCCGCGAAAACACAACTTGTGTCATGGCTTCGTTTTGACGTCACGGCACTCTGAAACTAATTAGTTTAAGCAATATATAAATATAATAAGCATAAAAGTGTGATTATCGGTAATAGTATTATTGAGGAGGATGATGGAAATCAGGTATTTTAAACGGGATAATGGAAGATTTATTTTATCTTTTACGTTACAAATTTCAGTACAAAGAGTAAAGTATCAAACAAAAACCAAAATGACATTCTTTATAAACTTAATATAAAACATAATCAAAGATATAATGAGGTGCTATCGTGCACACGTATATTAATTTACACTACTAGAAAAAATATTAATATGTATTTATTTTCGTTTACTGCATTCGCGCGCATAATATCGTATCGTGTATCCGCAGGTGGTATGTCTCGGCATGACTACTAACGAGCAGTTGAATCGGGGCCGGTATAGACATTTCCAAGCGCGCGGTGGACGATCGCCTTTCACGCGCGGACCTATCAACAACTGCGCGGACTTCTTCCAATGCCGACTATGTGGTTTACTGGCCCCGAGACCGCCCGACTGGCCGCCGCCCGACGACCGGGACCGGGACCAAGACCGGGACCGGGACCAAGACTTGGACCGCGACGACACCGCGCCCATGCTGCCCCGCGACCACCACTACGTTTGAGGCGCACCGCCAGATGTCTTGATTTCCCGCCGGTACAACGGGCTGATGCCTGGTTTTTAAAGAAAATCTTTTTAGAATTCGAGACGAATATTCTCGTCGATAGTTTTCGCATCGATATATTATTATTTATTATTTCTTTAGGGACGAGGTGTCGTCCCTTGCGAAATTCGAGTCTACGTTTTGCAATAATTATACGTGTAATAACTACTTTTTCTGTGGAATCAGGAGGAAACGGAATTTTCCCTTTCCCATATAATGAGTAACTAATATTCCAGTTATTCGTAGTCTTGTTTTATTCCTATTGGACACTGGACGCTTAGTGATACAATTTTCGTTTGCAGAGTTCTCATGGATATTACGTACCAAAAAATATATCAAAAACATATAACAAAGTGCACTTACAGTTGAAACTAATATAGATTGCTTATTTGCAACCATCAAGCATTAGTAGTAGATGCGTATATCATGCGACGGCAGGAGAGAATGTTGCAACATTCAAACAAGAAGCTCTTCTGGTTGCTTCTACAAACATCGACCGTTTAATTTTCAATGTAATAAGAAATAACAATTACCGCCATCATAAAAGTAAGTCATAAACTTTTCTTCTTAAAATGGTTTTGCACTGTTGAAGACAGCGTTGCAAATGTATAAATGATTTACTCATATGTAATAATCAAACAAGAAAATTATTTGAGCGAAACTGAACTTTATAAAAAAAGTACAACATAGAAATTATCAAGCGGTTTTTCCATTTCTAACCTTTTTTCTAACAATTTTACATATTCAGGCCGACACATGAATTGTTTGTTCAAGTGTTTGTTTATCTTATATCGATTCTTCAATAAAGTCATTTCACGAAACGATATAAGATACGCTTTTTTAGGGACAATATGACTCCCCAGAAATCATATGACGTGTAATTTGACTGTTTGATGTTCAGCTTTTGGGTGTTATTTATTTATATAATATTGATAAGTCTTAGATGACAGCAAAAAGGGAAATACGGCATGTTCATTCTTCCATCAAGCGAAAAGCTTTTTAGGTAATTACATCCGTAAACTCAATTGCATAGCGTAAAACAATAATATTAAGGGTTATTTTATTATAAAGTATAAGCATGGGGGGAAGGTTCTTTGCTTTATAAGTTTTGGAGGGTGTTATTGAAATATTTAAACCAATGTTTACATGGGAAAAGGAAAAAATAAGGAACAAGTTTTCTTTATTTTTTACCATCGATAAAAAGGTTGGGAAGGGATGATTTAAAAAACTGCTTATTTAATACTTGAATGACCCTTTACATAAACCTTTTCTAACGTCTTGTAAAGCAGCTCCGTCAATGTAGACTTAATAATAAAAAAAAACTGAACGATTTGCTTTAAATAGTTTAAGAAAAAATATATTAACACTCATATAGATATATATCTATAGTCAATAGAGGTAATTACTTGAGAAAATGGCAAAACGTAAATATTTTTAACCAATAGATGAGAAGAACTACAGTTTTTACTTTATTCAAATTCTTTGTTATCTGTTACAATATTTGCTTAACTTTACTTTTACAGAAGTAAATATTTTTACTCAACTATAGATACGTTACGCTGTAAATAATGTTTGCATTATAAATGAGGGAGATTTTGGAATTATTAGTTTAATGGTGTTTGTGCTTTTACGACATGAAGGCATTATATATATTAACTGCATAATGTCACAGATATAGCGCCGATAATCTTGTTCGCAGTGTCGATATTTCCCTTTTTATTTTCACCTATGTTAGAAAGATACCTAGTTACAAAATGTGTGCTGTATGTTTGAGTTTTAGATATTCTAGTACAAATTTGTTACGGTTATATTATAAAAGTAGTCGTACATATGTTACATTTAGAGCTTTATATTTTTCTATCTATCAATTAAATATTGACTCATATAAAGGCGGTCGGCGAGATTTCGTGGAAACATGATTTTTTTTTAATCTTGAAAATTTCATTTCAGTCTTGATTCAAATAAGTGAAATACTGCCCATTTACATTTTCTAGGTTTTTTTTTGGTTTCAGCTAAGTAGTAACTTTATTGTTTGTCCTTCAAGATTAGAATATTTTAAAGTTTTGCTGTTTTTTAATTAATTTATCGAAGCGAAGTCCTTGCCAGATGCCAATTTTTTTTTTATCGCAATAAACAGTATTTTTAAAATATTCCAAGTAATTTATATAAGTATTTCTACATATAGTCAGCAATATATAAGAAATTAAAAACCAGTGATCAAAAATGGAACATCTAATGATTTGAATGCATCATACAAAAATGAACACATATGGTGCCATCAATGCGAATTTGTTGATCGATGATGTTTATAAATAAATATTACACGCGAATTTAAACCAATTTCTTTTTTAGATAATTTCATTTTTATTTTCAAATAGTATGTTCATAAAGGCAATTTTTAAAAGCATAGCTAAAGCGACCCGAAGCTCCATAGCTTCATTTTGTGACACGAGATGGGACCTTTATTAAAAAATATTTCTTAGAGGGTACCTAGGAACTATTTTATAAGAAATATTTTAATATTCCCGTTTGAAGTCTATTGTCTGTGCACATATACCAAGCACCAGATGCGTAGTCAGTATTTATCTTATAATAATAATGTTATCAAAACCAAAAGGCAAGTTGTTGTCTGCCTACATAACTCGCCATCTAGTGCAGAAATCAGGTAACAGAAAAAGCTTTTCCTATAAATTCATGTATCTGTACTAGTTTAAATTCTATGTGTATTCCAATGTTTTTGATCACTAATTATTTGTATTTCTTAAAGCTGACTATAATAAAAAGTCACAAAATATTCGATAAATCAATATCAGTTGTGATCCAGTCGGGTTCGAATGTTAGACGGATTGATATTTTAATTACCTAATAAATATAACCTATTTCCCTGTCGGAAATCGGGTTTGAAAAGGCAGAAAACTTCGTGCTGGGTCATTTCAAGTATGACGTAAACACCAAAGAGCTTTATTTTTGATATCATGGGAAAGGGGATTGTCAGTTTTTTTATTTTCATTGGGAAAAATTGTAAGATCTAGGAGGAAGACGAATTCTGCTTATTTTTTCTAACAAGGGACTAATATTCTGCTTACACAGTACTTGAACGAGCCCTTACATTTAACCACCATATGATAAGGAAGAGTTTGTGTACGCCCCGCATAGGTCAAATTTCTACAATGGGTTGAGGTTTTAATATATTAATAGTAAAGTTCAAAATTGATTGCAGGAATTTGGCTTTTTGTAGTAACCATATATGCTGTTGTGTACAGATACAAAAATATGTATACTTTTTTGACTCTTGTTCTAATGCCGGCTCTACGCGTTAGTCAACGTAGCGGCGAATAGATTTGGCCAACGTATAGATCAACGAGTTTGTGCTTACTTGGTAGTTATTAGCGTAATGGGTGGCCCATATATGGCCCATAAATTGTAGCGAGATCCATATTGTTTCGGTTTTTCGAGAAAACATCAAGGAATTTTTGGTCGACAAATAGAGCAGTACATGTGATAAAATTATATATGGAACACAATATGTCAAAATAGTATAATAATACATATTTTTAGACGTACACGCTAGTATATTCACAGTTTTAATTAAATAAAACTACTTTTTAAAATGGTGTTATTTATAGGGTGCGAGAAAATATAAGAGTATGAAATAATTCATTTTAAAAATATACACGTTTTAAATGATGTTTTGAAAAGTAGATTATTTTAGTTTTAAATGTTTTACTTGACTGTTTTATTAATGAACAAATTATGCCTTAAAAGCTACGTATCTTATTTGGTGTATAAATTATTGTGATTTGTGGTGAACAAACAAGACAAATTTTAAAATAATATTAGCATAATGTATGTACAGTCAACAGCACGTTAAGTTATACAAAACTATCAAACTTAAACACTTATTTTAAAACTTAATGCATTGACAAAAAATAACATATTGTGCTAACTTAACGTGCTGCTGTGTGTACCATAAATTAGGATATTTTTTGCAAATTTATCAAAGCTACCTCCTTTATGGTTGCCTGCATGGTCTGACGTGTATTTGACACATATTTTTGAAATAAATATTAACATTGTATAAATTCCTTCATAATAACTAGAGTGGTTACAATTCGTTACAGTATTATAAGTTGGTTTGTATAATAATAGGTGCTGGTGTATATATATATGTCTACCATCTAATTATTGTACGATTAAATAAACTGTTAATGCTTTTCGATAATCCTAATGTAAGCTATTTTTCATGCAGTCGTAATCACCGTAAAACGACGTCTACTTTTCAAGTAGGAAAGGCAAAATTGTGAGATTCAGACGGTGAACTTTTAGCCTTAGAATATCATCACTTGTTTTATATATCTTGTATTAATACTCCTAGTAATAGAGAAGTTGAGCCGGCCACAGTAAGAGACATTAATAAGTACAGATGGTACAGACATATGCCTCGAATGGAGTTTGAAATCGATGTGATAGCACTCTTCCACCGAGCAATTGGCGCAAAGACAAGTGTATGGATTAAATGGACTGTTGGCCGACGCTCGTCGTTGTAAATATCGTTCATTACAGCTTTACGCTATTCTGTATAGACTTTACCGAATCACTAATGTATTATGAAAAACCAAAATGCATTTTAATAAAAAAAAACTATATAATTAAAGAAAAACACTTTTCAGTCTTTTATTCATTCGGAAGATTGCTCACGGATCTGGGGAGACGGGAGAGGTCGATAAAACAGACAAAGTAGGTATCAGTTAAACAAATATCACTTTTATTTACAACCGAAGCGATCACAAATCATAGTACAACTAAAAGTAATCACCTAAAACTACTTAACAGATCGAAATATATTTACAATAGAGTTAACAAATGTGTCGGTCACGCGGTCGCAAGCGGCTGCGTCACTACTGGCGAGCGTCGCCGCGGAGACTCCTCGCGCTCATCCCCCGCCCCTCCACCCGCCCCCGCTCCACCCGCAGCCGGCGTCAGCTGCAGCGCTGACTCCAGGTCACGCAGCACCTGTCACAGATTACATTAAGTTTACTTGTCTGGAGGGGGGTCACCATCACTTATATAGCAATGATTCATCCGTCCAACTTATGGGTCAACGCTATAACGAAGTCCCGCTCGCTGCACGGATTAAATATTGTTATAAGAAACTCTTGGTGAAGGAACTGCAATGCTATTCTCTTATAAAAATAACCTCGAACTCGAACTTCACGGACGGGTGTTGAATGGTCTGGTCGCCGAACAGAGAGAATTTGATACATTGACCTTTGTGCCTACTGATAGATATAGTAAACATATTAGGTTTACTATGACAAAATCTAACATCCAATAATCTAACCGATGCATCTGTGTGAGCGCAATAGCAATATGTTACTGCACGAGTGAATGAGATATGTAATGCGGGATACTGTTCGACGGCCGGCCTATAGTTGCATTCTTTTCTGATTGATAAGGTTTAAATATTTGTCAATAAAACTAAATAAAATAAACTCTTGCACTAGATTGATATTCTTTTACAGAGAGTTATTTATGCGATAATACGATGCAATTTGATAAAAGAAAATAGAGAATATTTACAATACTACATGGATTCGGGCCTGAGCAACGCGTATCGTCGATATAGTGTGGACTGTTTTATTCGAGTCGATCTCTTTGGGATTAAGCAGCGCGTGGCGTCGATGTAATGTGGACTCCTCAGTGCCGGATTAGCCACGTAGCAGAAGTAGCATATGCTACGGGCCCTGCGCAATCGAGAGCCTCGCTGTGGTCTGACCATTAATTTTCCAAGCCAGTGTTAAAGATGCAAGTTAAAATAAGCCATGCTTCTGTCTAAATTCATATTTTTTTAAGAATAAACCAGGATTCGTAACTATCAATATAATTATATTTTTGGATACCTATCCGATAAAAATCTGTTGATTACTGGCAACAATTTTTTAAATACATAAATTATTTAACTTATTTAAATAAGTGAAATGAAAGGGGGTTTCACAAAAAAAATGCTGCAGTCGCTGCTCTGGATTAATCCGGCACTGTATGGACTGTAACGTGGATGTAGTGTGGATTGTTATACTTACGTCCGTTTCTTTCTGGTCGAGCAACGCGTATCGTCGATGTAGCGTGGTGAGATGTGCGAAGGTGAGGTGTAGATGCGCGTGGAGGCCGAGGAGTACCGCATGTCTGAAGTGTGCCGCGTACATATGCGCCACCACGTGGAACAATAAACGCACTACGCGACGAACCACGCTTTCGAATGACGCCGGGAACTCGTTAGCTGCCAACCAGATAAAAAACCTTATTTATTCTGTTTATAAGAATTTATTGATGATGCAAGTCTTCGAAGTCGCCGATTAGAGCAGCGTAAAAGATAAGATCGTTTAATCCCGTCAAAGCCTGTCTCAGTATCAACGTGACAGTTATAAAAATAAGTAGACAGACATATATAGATAGATTTTCACATTTCACATATAGCTTTTTTAACGAAAAATCGCAATATCATTTAAGACTTATTTAAATATTTGTTTTTTTTATAAATATAAGTAATATAATAACCTTAGAAATTAAAACTAACGACAACTATGGTGCAATACATACAAATCTTTTCATTTAAAAGTAATCATGTTATAACGTCACGTTAGCAACATAGTGTTTTTGTGAAGAAATTTAAGCAATAGAGGTCATGGCGCCAGTGGGGTCTAATAACATACCGTACAAATGATGTCATTTGGCACTTCTCATTGGAAAGTATGAGTGACAATGAACAAAAAATATGGGTATTTACTTACATATAACATATACATAAAACATTTAAAGTTATATATACATAAACAGTTACTTATGAGATTATTACAGCAGCAAAACAAAATAAATATATGTATGACTCAACGGAAATTTCTTATAATTTCGTGAAGATTATCTGCGTATCACAAGCATATGGTCAGGTCCTATCTCTACTGCATCATAAATAATCGACGAATACGTTTCTTTGGAGTCTTATTAACAATTCGAAAATAAACGAAATTAAATAGAATAGACTTCAGGTGTCATACTAATTCATACGAATAGTATATATAGGTCCATAATTGCACGCCTTTTCCCAGTCGCCCATTTTGCACGTTCCGCCCTCGCTTCAACTCCACGCATCAACCCTTTCATACAACACCCGTAGTGTTGCCAGCCTTACTGTTTTAACAGCAAATTTGCTGTTTTCTGTTTCATTCCTACTTTAAATTTGCTTTCAGCGCCATCTTTTACATCCAAAATAACTGATTGCTACTCAATTGAAGCCACATAAAGTCACCTTAAGTAATTTAACAAGAAAAAATACAAATAAATAGTATAAATATATAATATGCACATGTAGAAGATGAGGCAATTGAGGATGAAAGTGGAAAATAGTTTAGTTTTTTATCTAACTTTTTATTTTGTGATCAAATATTATAACAGTTTATGTATAATAACGTCCTGATAACTAAAAAAGTATATCAATCGATCACCGGTTTTTGGAAGATGATGTTAGAAGCCATAAAAACCGGCGAGTATATATGAAAAGAGTAATGAAAGTGGATGAGATGAAAGATGTGTGTAAGTAAGGCTAAGGACCGTACATTGTGGCGTTCGGTCCTCTCTGCCTACCCCCAGGGATACGGCGTGAAGATATAGATAGAGTATGTTAGTTTTATTAAGGCGAGTACAGTATGAAATATGCTTTTATGATATCCTATTGTTTTCGTACTAGGTTAACCTTTGCCAAGTCTCTGTTTAATAATATGAATTTTGACTAATGAAGAATACTAAAGTGCAGTCTCAGCGTAAATTTACTCCAACGCTTAACCTTGTTTATTAATAACACTAAAATATTACACATTGAGATGTGTCATTGGTAATATTATAAACTCTTACCGTATTTAGTGGGGAAAATAGTCTCGTCATTGATGGTCTTCTGTGTGTATGTCATGACGTAGTCGACGTACTGTGGGGCGGCGACGCGCGACTTTTTGCCGCGTTCGTCGTACCAAGCGTATGTGCGGCCACCCGGGCCGGTCATGTCCGGGCACGTCGCCGCCGTGCAGAACTCCGACACGGTACCATATAGCAGATTTACGTGCTCGAACAGCGCAAGAGCTGAAACGCATCAACAGTGAATCATTAAGGAAGATAAAAACTCTTTTGACAATTATTATTTATCATTAATAAAATAAATATTACATTACAGAAAAAAATTTGATCTAATATCAAACATCGATTATTTGCATAATGTACACATATATGTTACAATTATGCTATTGTCCGCAACAAATTATTAACAAAATTTATTATAATTACGTTAATTAAAGTTCCTTACGATAGGTTGCAAGTACCCACTGAAATTAAACAATCTCTGTTGTTTGTTATTTAAACAAAACTTTATAAAAAATCCAAAATTTCCCTAACCATACGGCTAAAGGTAGGTGTGAACATAAACCTAAGATTAGCTATCTCACAATCATAAGATAACAAACACGTCAATATTCGCTATAGCTAATGCGGTCTTTAAATTTATGATCGTGTGCCCAAATCTTCACCTCCACGGAAGTATATTTATTCCTTTGTAGAAAATAGTTTCAGTTTTAGAAAATACGGTCAGATATACCGTTAGAGATGAGTCGAGCATGGATTATAACGATTTCGTGGCGTTAAATCCGTTCCGAGATGACCATCGATCGCGCTGTATACGCGTACAGTACCTCTAGACTAGAGGTACTGTGCGCGTATATAGCGCTAGAGAATTAGAAACGCTAGATAACTAGAGTCTCTGGTACATTTAGCGCTTTTATACAATAATAACAACATGAATATAATCTGTTATAGCATCATCACTTGATAAAAGTCAAACAAGCTTGATCAGACTCGCTCGTCACTAATGAATTGTATTGTCTTAGAAAAAGGTATTCTTTTAACCACCAATACATTAAACTATCATCCCCATCCAAGTGATTAAACTATCATTATGAAGAATCAAATATAAGCTAGTTTGGAGCCAGATTCTTATTTCATAGGATCGACAACGAAAGTAAGCCCAAATATCACAATAATAGCTTTATAAGTTTTTTGATATTGAACCATAAATATTGATGAGTATCATAATTTTTCGAATTCACTTTCGTAAATTCAATATGTTTTAAAATCAAACACGTTCCCAAATCACACACTTCTTAAAAAACTGATTGATTAATCATTATTCATTCACTATTTGGCAATTCGCTATTTTACAAAAATCATCTCAATATGAACTTGACATGTTTATTTCATTATCCATTTAACTTTTTACGACCTATGTTATCATTGAAGGAGCACAATATTCGTTACAACGGATACGCGCTTTCCTCACGCGTCTGACACGACCAACTGCATACAAATACGTTGTCACACAAATACAATTCTATTGTGCGTGCATCACGAATTCACGACCTAACCTGAAATCATGATTTTGACAGTCACCGTCGTTAATGCGCCGAATGTATAGGCGGAAAGGTACTAGGTAGTACAATAACCCATTACGATGACGGATTTGATGAACCATTCTCACGAATAACGACGTAAACGACACTCCAAACAAGTTTGTCTCTCACGTATTCCATCAATTTACTCATGTTAATGCCGTTATCTTATACTGTTTATTCTAACGGATCATCATTAATTTATAATCTCGATAATCTAAGAATGGATAAAGTTAATCTGATATCTAAGTTGCCGTTCTAGATTATGTTCAAGTTTTCGTGTCTGCCTGTACTGTTTACTATATTAGAAAGTTAATATTTAATTAAGTTCCAGTATAAGTTCACTTATGATAACTTTAAAATAAATAAAAAAACATTTGAGAATTGCAATAAGAAATTTAAAAAACCTATTAAGTGCTCTACTGAAGAGACATCATATTCATAAAATTCCGTTTTCTTGTCAGTATCTAACTGTGGTTACTTAAAGGTAGTTGTCAATTTACTGTACATTATTTCAAGGCTCTTAGCAAATACCGAAGGTCACTTGTACAAGTAGACATTAAGCGTGCAATATATTTGTGTCTTGTATAGTACAGATCATCGTGGTACTTCGAACCGTAACAAATTAAGAAGTATTCGTTCTATGAGTGACTACTGAAAAGGTATATTTACAAAAATATTGTTACATGGCATTAGTCAATGTCTAGTTTCTGTCAATTTCATGCGATACGACATATTTAAAAATAATTAAAATGGCCGCCACGAATTTTAAAAGCATAAGATTGTATTATAAGAAATGTTTCCACCTGAAGATACATTTTTTGTAACAGTTGACCTTAATAGAATGTACCATACCACCCAAGCGAGGTGGTATGGTACATTCTATTAAGGTCAACTGTATTATCACTTTTTTATCCCTTTATTATCACTTTTCGATCAAATTAAACAATTGTGTGCAGTTTACTATTAACGAATTTCAGATTTCTTAAGTGGCTTAAACAGAAGAGGATTATAGCAACTTAACTATGTGTGCGGTGGAGTGTGCCCGAGTATATTGTATGGCTTTGTATATTATAAAAGCGAACGCACAGAAACTACAGTCAACTGCTACCGCTACCACTGAAGTAACAGTTAGCTCAAGTGAGTTAGCAACATTAAGTGACCACAGTTAACGTAAATGCACGCTTGCTTTGAATCGACATGCGTTCCATTTCAGATAGCGAAATCGATATATTGATTTTTCCTGCCCACGTCTCATTTATTGAACGATAAATATATTTAAATTTATTTACCTTATAATGTGAGCAGGAAGACTCTCAAGCACTGGTATAAAGTAATATTTTCAAATAGGTGTAATTAATGGTTTATGCGGTTTACTGTTGGTTCATATGGAGGGTCTATAAAATTCTATCCTAATAAGACGTGGATAAGGAAGACGTGGAAGGCTGACAGTGTTATATTAATTAAGAAATACTATAATAATCGATTTCAAATCTCGAAAAGTTGGCAAAGTCTTCATCGAATACTAACCACGCCTTGAAATCGACACAAACGGTGTAAGACTCATTTTCACATTTTCATTAATAAAAAATTGTTATGTGGACGTAAATCCTGCGTAAATTGGCCATTTGGTCACAGATCTTGAATGTCAATTTACTTTTTTCTGGGCAATTCCCCCGTACTTTTTATGCAGTGCAATCTTATAAATAACAGAGTCTATTTGTAGGACCTTTTGTGACTCACACTATTCGGTCCTTCGTCCACGTTATTGATGAAATCTGAATAGGCACCATTCAAGGAAAAATTTTGTAACGGTGCGCCGTACCGACCGTTTATTTCGTCCTAGGTATCCATCCGCCTGCAAACCTTTTGTCTTTGATCTTCAACATCTTTTCTTATTATTATTCATCTTTCGTAATTTGAAATTTTGGGTAATCCAATATGCTCTTTATGAATGTCAGTTCGTAAAAAAATCATCTGGTGAGAACATGAACATTTAATCATATTAATCTAATATTAATAAAGTCATTATATTTTAAATAATAAAAGTATTAATATTCGTGTAATATCTACCAAGTTTTATCTATTACGGAAAACACAGAAACGGGGTATGTATTTGTTCTAATTAATTAAATTAATTGTAGGTATTATTTAGGGAATCATACGAACGGTTTTTATACACATTTTTTGTTTGTTACAATTGTTTTTAACCTCTAATAAATCAAGTTTTCAAGCTTAGTCATAGCCTTTTATTCGTTTGCCTAAGCATCGAAACCGTCACAAGTTGAACAGTGTCCAATTATTTAAAATTATCCCCTGATCTGTGGAGCGTGGTATTTAGTAAAAAAAAGCTGCATATGCAAATAACGGGAAGTAGGACAACTCCATTCAGACGTTCGTCGGCTGGCCTTTGCTTCCGTACGTGTCCGCGAAAGCACTTCACGTGCGCCAAAATGGAACTGATCCCGGTACATGCTGCCTGCTTGCTGCTTTACAATATATTGTGCCAAGTTTTCGATAACAAGCACCACAGTACATTCACACCGGACGGCACGCGGAAAACTCAGTATAATGCTCTCGTATGACACCGTGACGTGACTGGAATCGTGTTCTATACGAAAAATGATTCAAGCTGTTAATTAGGATCGTGTGTGCAAATACTGACTGTGCGAAGCGAGCCATTCGTTGTAGTCAAGTCCGTGAGGCAGGTCGACGAGCTGGCGCATGTCGATGTCGGGCAGTTTGCGCTCGAGCAGCGCCTCCTGGAGGTACAGCTTGGGATCGCCAGTGGGCTCGCCCTCGCGCTCCTTGCGCCGCGCCTTCCTGCAAGCAACATAACGTACTATTTGAATACGTGTTCCGTGTTCGATGTTAATATCAAAACGTTTCTATTTTCAAACTAGGGCAAATCCAACTTTAGAATTGTAATCGTGTCCACTCCAATATAGATCAAGAAACATTTTACAGCTCTAAATTCATTAGATCTAGTTAAATTTAATTAATTTTAGGGGCAAATTAGTATATCAAATGGAGGCATATTAATTTCTATCATAATTATCTTTATTCTTTAGAGTTCACGACACTTTGTAACTATAAACTTTATGATGGACATATGATATTAGACCATATTTAGTTTTACATATCAATCCAACCATCCTCTTAAAAATCACAACAAGGACAGCCAGATACCTAATTGGTGATTCGAATATCAACGATATATCGTATTCAAGTATTATTTGCTTCAATATTTAAAGATTTTTACCCTAACCATAAAAAGTTACGGAAGCCTAAAGGCCACCACTCCGTCGAATACGAATACAATGTTTCCGCTACATTTATTGATTCGATCTAGAGTTGGAGATTGCTATTATACTACTACTAATATTTATCTTAAAAACAGTTTGATGTCAGTACATCTAGTCAGTACTAAACACTCTGAAGTTTGATAATGTTTCACTAATATTACGGGATGTTTTTGACACATTTGAAAGGTTTGTCGAAATGAACGACTTTAACGTATAATATAATATAATCGTCATATTGCAATTCATCCTGATTTATCAAACAGAATAATTGAAAGCGCGACGATTTTGCTTTCGTAAATCCGCTCAGTCAGTCAGTCGCTTCGGCTGCATGTATTGATTAACCGATCAATATAAGGTTTTGATTAATTTAATTTCGTATTGGTATTTTACATGTGATACTACTGTAATAGACGACATAAGTGAAATTTACATGAAAAATTATCGCCATTTTGAGTTTTTGTCCTTCTTTACAGATGAATAAAGATAGAGCATGGTGACTAAGGCCAATACGCCTAATGTCACTGTCAAACATCAAGGTAAACTACGTAAATGTTAACCAAATTGTGCAGTAGGGTCGCTGTTCCACGGTTCGGGTACGAAAACAGACAGACCCTGTTTCCTAAGCCGTCCCGCGCACGACAAGATCCACGTTACGTCACCATCATCATCACTAAGTACCTAGAAAAGCACCGCACGCGACACGACACCACGTCATGCAAATCCTCTTCTTCCGCCTTTTGACACTGCCCTAAGTATTGAAGTACCTGACGAACGATATCCTTAAAGATGAGCGAACTCGGTTCGAAGCGAAACTATTGTTTTTATAAACATACACTAGTTAACATAGTAAGCAATATAAACCTGAAATGTAAACATAACATAAATAAAAATAGAAGTGATATTGAGAGGTCGAGTTTAACTTCGAATTCAGCAAACAAGTTCAAATTTTTTTATCACACTCCAATCTTAGTTATTTTTGATCGTAAAGAGCACGCTATTAATAATTTTCTATCAACAACTTTTTAAATAACCACAGAACAGTGTTCAAAGTATCATACTCATTATACCTGACGATTACTGAAAGTAGGGCAATCGATAATGATAATACAGATCTGTGTATAAATAGCAGTAAGTGTATGTTAGAACAGTACCAACACCAACAACGCTCCAAAGTTTTTATTACTGAGTAGATTAACTAATTTGTCGTTAATCATAAGCGGCTTAATTTATCGATTAGTCATATATCGCAATAAACAACCAACTTATAATAGACGGTGACAACGGTTTAAATATAAAACTTCCGAATCCCAATTGTTAGTGACGACCGAAAGTTTAAGATGGAACATGGCATGACAACCAGGACAAATTTAAATACTAACTTCCCGAAGATTGCATCGACGAGCACGGAGACCCACAGCATAAGCACTTCGAGACATCTGTCCATGGCGGGCATGAGGCCCGGTGGCTGCGGCTGCGCGTGCGCCCTCTACACTATGTCCACTGAGCACGTCAACACTTCTAGCCACCAATTCCGTCACGGGTCGCAGCGCACAGGTTCTGTTGCAGCCTTTAGAGGCCATCGCTCGTGACCACAGCCTTCAGCACGTCGGTTATGTACCCATCACAATCATGACTCATGCGTAGTAGGTAATAGATCAATCAAAACCCTACAATAAATACGTCATACGGGATCGATCACGTTCGTTCTAAACGATTTTTTTTTAGACACCGATATATTTCTCTAAAGTAGAATTCGATCACCATCAAAACGTGACGTGGTCAATATCCATTTTAGGAAGGGCTGTCGAAGAATAAAGTGATACAATATATACGAAACGAGCATCGTCGGTTGATAAGACAGGTACAAGTTCGGTTAAATTACACCACAATCACAGGACTAAAAACAACGGCACAGTTTTAAATGAAGAACACACATGAACACTTAAAGCTGATGGAAACGTTGACCAACGTCGCGCTCACCTGAATGGAACAGCAGAATACAGGTACGATGGCAACGAAAACAGCACGCCAAGGACCACGGCATGACACATCGCGAATGAGCCGAGCCCGCCGCGAGACTAATGACAGCAACAATCGTGCGCGCGCGCGCTCGCGCTCGCTGGCCTGCCCTACGCCTGTGCTACCACAGACAAAGACGGAAATATTCTTCTCTTTCTTACACACGGCCGCACGAATGCTACAATATAGCTACATATCTTTATTCACCTACGCAAAATAGAAATTACGAAGGTGACCAAATTGTTGTTTACATCGAAACTGGACTAGATATTTTGACATAAATATGTAGACTGTCCTTGCTTCACCAATTTAATGTATATTTTTCAAGAAACTAACCACATACTTTTAGAAACAATCTGATCAGTACGTTTTATTTTGTAATTTTCTGTTACCTATTTCAGTAGTGTAATACTTCTTTTGTATATCCTTATGATTATATTTCATTGTATTTATATCATTTTCATAAATATGACACTATACTATATCTTATCTATCACTGCTTAATTTATTTAATATTAGTACTTCCCTGAAACAAGCTCTATACTTGCCTTTCGACTTGTCTAATTTTATTCTAATATATTTTCTGCCAATAAAAATAGATTGTGCCATTTAATATTTAATAACAATATTGTATAGAGCAACACATTGTCTATCTATAGCGTAAAAATTGGCGTGACAGTTGAAGGATGAGTTAAAGTATTTCGGAGCAGATCGTTAACCCATGGAATTACGCGGGCGCAGTGCCAGGCGTCCGTTCTCGGACTGGAGCAGCCACCATCGTTTTCTGACACTACTCCGTGTCGTTCGCAATACGTTTTTAGTATCGACTTTAAACTGAAAGTAAGTTATAGTCTATATAATAAATGACAACGATGAGTTTGCAAATCATATTTTATAAGAGTCCTTTTAATTCATTTCATCTTATTATTATATTTGACGAATTTTGCATCCACAATGCTGTACTGGGAAATATTCTAAATGAAAAATCCACTTTGTCCCTGGTGGCGATCTTTTATTTTGCTTTTTTTACGTAGTGGTGTGTTAGCCTTGATAGAATTTAGAATGTAAAAATACAATTAAAGATCTTTGTTATATTTCAGGGTCGGATAAGGCAGCGATGCGGACGGACGGTGTGGCCGTGGTTCGTGTTCTCGCTCGCCCGCAGTCGTGGGAAACTTATGTAACGCCAACGATCAATATATTGCAGCGAAAATGCTGCAATCACACGGCCGCTTGTAGATGATCGATAAAGACCAAATTAGGAAACAAACTGGGACCATTACCTTTAAAAATTAGGTCTTTTAAAAATAGCATCCAATCTATATTTCATAAAAACATAACGATCAATTAAAAACTTTGTTTTTTCAATGATGCTTCTGTGGTTAGCAATTAGGTACCTATTATAAAATAAAAATATATTTTATGAGTACGAATATTCTTGGGAGAAACAGTTTCAAATCTCTAAATAAAATAATCTCTCTAGCTCTCTCCTCTTTTTTTAAGTCGAGGAAATGCTTTAGACACTACCCCTGCCGCCTGGCAAGCGACAGGGAGTGTGTGACTCTCCTACGTGAACCCACCCCGTCGCTAGCTCTAGCTCTCTCCCTAGCGCAGTGTGTAGCTAAATCAGTTGTATAAACGGAAATTAGAATCAACAAAAGTCAACATCAAACAACCACCAATCACATTTTATAGAACAAACTTAAGATTTACAGAGGCTAATGAAACCAAGACATCAAAATAACAGAGATTTTACAGAAATGATATTGTAACAGATTAGAGCACATATTTTGGGATGAGGCATCACAATATCTGGCGATAACAAACAAGAAGGAGGAAGTGGAGATCTAATTATGGTAAATTGTGATGACCACAGAACAACATGGTGTCGAAGACACGTATAACTTTGTATTTAGCAAGTTTAAAATATCTGCATATAGATAAATACGTCGTTTGCTCGGTATTTAAGACACCTGTTGGTCCTGTCCTCCTCCCAGCATCGGATCTCCGGTCTGTTCACACCCCTTCCTGTGTGGAGGCGGTTCGGTGTGATGTGATATAATTCTGGCCGGATTATTAGGTATCAACCATAAACTTACAGAACTAATCGATCTTCTTACATTAATAGAAGGTACTAGGAGTAAATAAAAACCGCGTCGTAACTTGAACCATACTTAATTGAACTTTTGATAAAGCACTTTTCATTTGATAATACTATTTGAAACAAAACGTTACACTGCGATATACCGAAACGTACAAATATACTATTAAGGTATGTGTAAATAATTTCAATAAAATACATTGTATAACAATAATAACCCCGTTTGAATTTAAATTCTTAATAAGGACATTTATCGATTCCATTTATTGCTAACCATATTAAAATCCCATATCTACATGTTGCGTCATGCCCGATTTGATTGCTGTCGCCATGTCAGAAATATATAACAAAGGAAGAAAACACTATAAGATTAGGACCAATCTTTTGTTTTCTAATACAACACAGGCGGAGCATTGCTTATTAGACATGTCTTTGTTTACATTTTAGTAATTAACATAGATATTGCGGCCGGCAAATCGAATGCGAACGAAGGTCGTTTCAAATGTTTTGTTTGCGCCTTTCACAACAACAAACACAACATGTGTAAGTTTTAAAAAAAGGGAATTAAATACGCATGATTTTCATGTCGTAACTATATTAAGCGCGCTACACTATTTCAATACGTAATTTTATTAATTCCGAAAATGTAAGGTACTAATTTACAGAATTCTTAATACTCCATAAAAAATATAAATTATTCACGGGACATAAACGATTAGGGCAAATAGAATGCTCGGATTAAGTGAGTACTCTCAATTCAGAATATTTCAACAGAGATGGAAGTTAAGCTTTCAAATTGCGTAGTTTGCGTGCACGCATGGTAACGAGGCGGTTACATGTCCCACATATGCAACGGTAGTTCTGTCGAAAAATGGTAGTAAACACTTAAGATTTTGTCCCAATCGTAAAATTACAACTTGACAATCTTTACAGTCTCTTTATGACAATTTAATGACCCAATACCAAAGAAGCGACAACTATAGGAAAAAAAAAAATGATTTTATGTTTATCCCTTAACTAATTGCAAATTCAAATAAACTTTTTAACAGTACTTTTGAATCGTCCAACATTTTTGTCCACTTTCTGATTTCTGAGACAGACTCAAAAGGTGCGAGGACGAGAAAATTTAAAATAAGTGAATCAAGCATAGAGATCTTGAAGGTGGAAACGTGTTGCTCTACACAAACACATTCGTCTCTAAAACTACATATACTTGGTACTCAATAAAATCCTTGGTAGAAATCATAGAATCTGTTCAAAATCTTTTCATTAAACGAATTGCTGCTTTGCGTGAATGAGAACCAAGTTTTCAAGCTCCCAGTTAAAATTAGGGCACTTAGCTTAACTTTAATATGTTTTTGGTATGCAGTCTTCTGCAGTATTCGGGCGCCAGGAAACAGTACCTCAATCTAGTTCAGGTTATAAATAATAGGGGGTGTGGGGGTGCGCGGAGGCAGGGATGGTGGGGGAGGGGCTTCGAACGTCACATCGCGCGATGTTTGCGAAGGTCGCGCCTGCTTATCGTCGACGTCTCGCCCACTCAATACAAAACATTTACGTCATCAAGATACCTACTTTCAATTTGACGGGTAAAGATAATGTTTTGCAAGGGAAGCATTATCAATTGCGGATTTCTATAAGTTCTCAAAATATTATCGATTTCAAAAGTAGTGTATTTATGACAGCATGAATGATAAGAATTTTAAAATATAATGTAATTTTTAGTTTCATTTCATGGATACTAAGAAGAACCACTGATAAATAACATTTTATCGCAGCGATAAAAACTGCATGAAATGGATACTAGTCATTATATTATAAATATTTTTTCCACTTAACATTCGTTTGCAACTTTACAAAATGTATTTTTGTATGTATAATTATCTTAAACAATTTTTGAGGTGACACTTCTATGTATCGTAAATGAGCATTTTTAAGAAATCCTTCAGTTTATACGGAAGCAAATTCAAATATGAGTGCGACCCTGACGGATTAAATTATATTATACGACTTAAAAAGATTTTATTATTGCCATCTAGAAGACAACCTCTGCGCTGACATGAGCCGTGACACAAATCAATATGACCATCAACCGACCTTGGGCACACTACTAATACTGCCTATGTGATGTTACTTATTTGATGTTACAGACGGTTCCATAATGTTTTTAAGAGGTATACAATAGTAACGTGCTTTACTTCCGTTAACTCTACTACTTGGAAATTCAACACTATTATATAACTAGGTCGGCGAACCAAAAGTACAAAGCCAACAATATATATAACACATAAGATCTATTCCAAATGAGGCATTTCCAATAATCGTCTTTGACCTAAATCAAAGTGCATTAGGTCATTTATAATAGCCTCTAACCACTACAATAACACCACCGGACGCATCGTGTCTATTAACTGCAATGCAATACTAAAGTAAAGTGTCACGCGTATGTGTGGCAACAGTTAGCTCGGGCAATGGCGAACTTAGGTCGTATTAACGACATCACGCACGATGTAAACGTTAAAGTGTACATTGAGAAACTTATTATTTACTTGTGTTCGGTCAGGCAAAGGTTCGCACAGAACATACAACTATCTAAATGTAGCACGTAGCGTGCCGCGAGAGGAATTGACAATGAGTGCGCGGGGATCGTTACCGTTGCCGCCGCGGCCGCGATCGCTCCAACGCCGCACTTTCACTTCGCAGAACCTCAGTACCGCAACATACTAAATAATATATACAAATAATTCACCTTCTCGATTTAAGGTTTGTTGTAGTTTCTACATAAATATCGGCAAATGTCGGTTATGTAGGTCAGAAAAACCTTAGACATATTTTCTTAAAATATTTGGGTTAAGCGTGCGTGTGCGTGTATCACAATACCACATTTTTTTTGAGACGCACGCAATCTTCTGTTTAGTGCTTAGATATCGAGATTGAAATGATCCTGTATCGTTAACTAGAGTATAAAAATTACTTCAACGAAGAAAAGTACACGTATTGTATGTTTAATATGTGGA